GAGAGAGAGAGAGAGAGAGAGAGAGAGAGAGAGAGAGAGAGAGAGAGAGAGAGAGAGAGAGAGAGAGAGAGAGAGAAAGAGGTGTATTATGTTGTCTATTCTGTTTTGCAAAGAGGGACGGAAAACAGCTGTGGCCGTGAGAGGGAGGAAAGGAGGGCCGTACAATCGGAGGAAAGGAGGAGCGTACAATCGGGGGGGCAGTATTCGAATGTTATGTTCATTTTCACTGTTGGTAATCAGGGCATGCRTTCGGATTCTGATGCAATCAGACGAATGCAATGGTAATAGGGGCTGCCTCTGTTAGAATACCCCCTCCCCCCTTCCACCGCCCCCTACCCTCCCCTCTCCTCTTCTCCTAACAAAAAGAAAGGCGAAGGAAGAAAAAAACAGTGTTGGTGTCGTTCTTGCAACTGACTGAGTGGGCAGAGAGTGGGCTTTGGGCGCGAACCCCCTACCATCCCTGTCATCTTCGTCGCAAAAAAAAAAAAAAAAAAAAAAAAAAAAAAAAAAAAAGGGGGGGCTGTAGGTGGGGCTGTAGGTGGGGCTGTAGGTGAAGAGTGGGTTCAAGTGGTTGTGGGGCTGTAGGTGGTTATCATTAAAAAATAAACGGCATCCTGCAGGGGTATCCCTTAAGAGAGAAGCCAGGGATGTGCGGACATGCTACCCGTCTTTCCACAAATGAAAGTGATAAGCCAGGGATGTGCGGACATGCTACCCGTCTTTCCACAAACGAAAGTGATAAGCCAGGGATGTGAGGACATGCTACGCGTCTTTCCACAAATGAAGATCGTGCACATCGGTATGGTTGCAGTTTGGTGAAAGGGAATACGTCCATGAGGAGGAGGTAAGGGGATAAGTTGCGTCTAGGGCACACAGTTTCATGGCGTACTGCCCGTATATGTGCGGACGATTCGGAAGACGGTTGGCAATGGCGAGGAAAGATTGCGATCCAGGTTGATCTTATCAGGATGTAGTGTCTGTTCTAATCGACTCTAATATCGGATCGGTCGTGGCCGATCCGATCACGTGGAAGCAAATTAATTGTTTGGGCCGACAGATGTGTCATATGGTGTACGGGTATGCGTCCCTTTTTTATTCCTCTGCTGTGCCTCTGCTTTCCACTGCTGGAAAGCGCGGTGTAGCCCGTATGAAATTAAAAAAAAAAAAAAAAAGAATTTGACAAGTTGTTCAACGAAGTTGCGATGGTTTTGCCTACCGCCGGGAGTTGGGTGGTGTTGCGCACGGAACGGCGTGATAGACGATGGTGTGCTTGTTTCTGTGTGTGTGTGTGTTTGGGCGAGAGAGAGAGAGAGAGAGAGAGAGAGAGAGAGAGAGAGAG